CATCGTTCGCTGAGAAAATAGATATCTCCAATAAATTCAAATCATATGAACCATGATATATATTTATTCAGCATTGGTGCATGAATAACATTTAAATGCATGTAACATTTCCTGTTATACCCGCTTTGTAAAAGTAATATCATACATCAATGTTTCTTAGTATTTTACTTTACATGATATACCGTTTTAAAGAAAGAGAGGATGATTATGAAACATATACTTTGGCATGAATGAAGCTAAAATCTCATTTATCAGATCTCTTTTATTTTCTTAAACAACAGGTCCTAACCCCGCAAAACACCAGTTTTGCTTCAAGACCCTGGACCATTTACTCTAACAACTGTTCCTATTGATATAATGCAATGATGTCAATACTGCGAGGAATTAAATATTTACACAATGTTGTATCATATACCGTATAATGTGAAATTAACAATTTTAATTCATTTTCAGTTGGAAATCTTTTTGGCAAACCGTGTGTCAGTGAACAATAATGTCTGAGTAATTTCCGACGTTATACAATAGACTGCACATTGGCACCATTAACTTAATCAATGTATCATTAAGTTTTAAAAATATCCTTCTTCCTTTGTGGACTTTGGGAATTTTTCTTTATGTCAGATCGAATTCTTCGTTATAAAGTGTACCTAGAGTTGTCTGGGCTAATGGATGTTATTACTCATTCTTATTATGCTTTGGAATGTTTTTATGCTTAACCCTTAAGGTTACTTTGGCACCAGACATTTTCTTCTTTATTCTGACTTAAATTATATTCTATTTCAACCAGAATATCAAAATAAGAATTTTCATTAGGGGCTGGTCTTAGTTACAGTTCTTCATATTACCATAGCTTGTAGCTGTTTTTTAATTGCTACCATATGTTCATCTAGATATTATTTATTTAGTAGTGTGAGTCACAGCAATATGATCGTTTACTTCGACTTCCAGACAAAATATACAATAAATGTTTTATGTAAGCATATAATTTGCTCCTATACAGGCGATGCATATAAAATGGACGCTTTTTTACACAGCAGGCAATTTTTATAGATTAGCTTTTGATATTCTCACCTGTGGGTGACAGGTTAATGAATGTTGTACCACCTGTGAAACTAAGTAATAAAAGTGGTTGTGTAAAGAAACGAAATAATTTATATACTTATCGATCTCCAACCTGTAATTGTAAATGAGGTGAAAAGTAACATTATTTACGTGTTTGTATGACTGAGGAGTGCTTGCTTGTTTGTTTGTTTGTTTGTTTGTTTGTTTGTTTGCAAGTTATTTGTGTTATCAAGGTCACAAGGAAAATCCTTCAGAACTGTAAACATGTAAAAAATATCGCGATTATTCGTTATTATTATTGTACGCCATACAGCTTGATAATATTGCTATATATCGATTTTACAAGATTTACTTTAAATAAACCATAATTTAACTAGAAATATAGAAGATTGACATATTTGAGATGTTTTAATATAAAATTATGATACTTGAATAATGCCATTCAGCTCAAAAAAGCCACTAGCACAACATTTTCAATCTGTTTTCGTTAATTTGTTCTGAACTTACAGAACTTTGAGTTACGCCATTTTGTTACTGAAAGGGATCCGTTTTCGCAACCGACTTCTCGGGTTCCTCCACAAAGCAGTTAAGATAATTAATGCTGTTACTCTCACCTATCAATATACCAATACGCGATAACGTTTAATTTCGTTCAGTTTAGCTACCTCTCGTTTGAAGAGCTCTCATGTACGGTACAACTTCGTCTACATCCGGGTTCTTTCCCATTGGATTACATAGGGGTGCTATTTTCAATGCTGCACTGCGGCTCTATTAAACATTTATGTAGAGTTTCATTTGCACAAACGATAGGTATGTATGTAATTAAGATATATGACAAAGCTTTTTGAGCTATAATCCCCAAATCCGAAGAAATCTGTAGTTGAAAATGCCCTCCAATTCCAGTGACGTCACTGATATCCCAGAAATTGCTCAGACGCCATCGAAGATCGAAAAATATAAATAATGTTACTTTGAATCTCCGATTATCTTTCTGATTATTGAATAAATTGGATTATATAACTATGCTTGAGGGCTGATGGAAGATCAGAAGCTGAGAAACGTTCAGAGTAATCGACTCGTTCGGCGGGCCAATGAAAAATTGTCCCTTCCAAAGTGATGCATCATGGGAGATATTTATGCAAATTACCACCTGAACTCTTACCGCGAATAGGAGTATTGGTGTACAGAGGCAAATTACATCGGGGTCTGTATACCTCCCGTCAACTCACGCTCCCGTAATTGTTCTAATTCCCGAGCTTCTTCAACGCATGTACGGGACCAGCTAGATATTATTGCATGTGTAATGGTGTAATGGATTTATATTATTTTTTTCAACAGTTTTCGGACGGACTCATTTGCTTAGTTGATACCAACTCACCTTATTATATTGCTATATATATCCAGAACCGAAGTTCAATACTGGGGCATACTTTGTAACGTCACGAGTGATGAACAATTGCGCTTTTCTGTAAAATTCTCATTGAAAAGACGTCAAAAAGCTACATGGGACATTTTTGTACCTTTTTCTTTCGCATCGTTTGACAAGTTATCATGTTTGAAAATGTTTGAAATTTTCCACGATCAAAATATATTAAAAACCTATTTCTAAAATGTTTTTATTTTGATATATTTCTTAATTTTAATGCATGCACGTGATGGCTGGATTTCAAGTTTACGCATTTTTAAGCTAAAAATACTAAATGGGACATTTTTCGTACCCTACATATCATTTGATATTTAAGAAATTTGAAGGAAATTTAATATTTTTTCTTCAGATTTATTAATTTTAGCCAAAACCTTGTTTATAATTTTAATTTCAGCCTTTAAGAATAATTAATTCTAAAATAAATGGCATTTTGCTTCCCTAGGGGTCGTCAAAATACCCAGCGTGACGGCCTTTGGATTTTGTTTGAAGTTGAAAAATCAGCGTCACATTCCATTATTACCTTAAAACTAATGACGTCATAATAAAGATCATTGTCTCAGGAAGTGATTCATACCTGTCTCATCAAAATTGATGAAAAAATAATGATTCTACATCATTTTGAAAAATAGCGCGCTCCTAAAATGTTACGCGTGACGGCATATTTCTAACGTTTTGACCCAGGAAGGACGCTCTAAAATGCTCTTAAATGAAAAATTCCATGTAAAATATACAAATGAGGTTTTAGAGGGTACCTATATGAAGATTTTGATATATAACATGAGTATGTTCGCTTTCCGAACTTTCCCGATATTTACATGGAAAGAACATGGAACGTCAAAATTTGAAATATGCCCCAGTATTGAACTTCGGTTCCCAACGACTAAATTATATTTTACTTCATCAGGCAACGGTACCAGGGGGTAGAAATAAAAGAAATAAAACTCGATTCGTGTATTTCCTGAAAAAATATTTCTGTGCTTAACCCCACATCACAGAAAAACTAGATGGATGGCTGTCATTTTATTAGAATTAGATGTTCTCCAATGTACTGGAATTCTGATGAGCCTGTTTTTAGGTAAGGACACACTGTAAAACGACCACAGGCTACAGAGTAAAATTACCCCTACCCCTCCAATTCCAGTAATTCCAGTTGTACCAAACGAAATGCTGGACGCGTTTCTATCCCCTGGGTACTATCATTTTAAAAGTTGCATACAGCAATATCACTTGCGGATCCAGAAGGTGGGGGGGGGGGCAAATTTCAATTCGAAAATAAATTTTGAACCCCAAAATCCAGAAATTGGGCCCAAATTATAAAAATTAAGGCCCATTTTTGATAAATTGGCCTAAAAGTCCCAAAAAGGTCAGGTAATGCTCAAGAGGCCCACTAATTGAAGCCCTGCAATTTTTGGGCCAACGCTTTTTTCTGGGCCCACCCATGGCCCACCCAAGGGGGGGGGGCATGGCCTCCCCCGCCCCTGGATCCTCCTTACATATGAGTATATAAGGGTTACCGGTAGGTTTTGGATACAGGGTTTATCCCAAGAGAAATATGTGTATCTTCCGAGGGACCGCGAGGACCGAGGGAGGTTCACATATTTTCCGAGGGATAAATTCTGTATCCGGAACCGACTGTACATAACAGATGTATTCCATACCTACTGAGGTTCTAGGTACGTTATACCTCATAAAGTTCCAAAATTCAAAAACGTATTTTAACGTACGCTTTTCTTTTTTAAAAGGTAGTTTTTAAGTTTGTGAAATTTTCAAACTCCTATTTTTCTAGACGGTAGCAATGAATTGATATTAAAAAGTTAAAATGTAAAACATAAGTTTGAAATATATTTTTTGTTTTGTGAATTGAGTAAAACGTATAAGTTCGCTTTTTAGGAGCGGGACTGGGATGGATTCAGCGTGTATTCATCCTTGTCCCTGACCTTGGCGATCGCTCCCTAAATACACCACACTATATTCCCACTCGTTATGTTCCCAAAACCTTAGTACAGGTATGGAATACACTGAATATCTTCGTCTGAATCCTACTTACATACTGGATAAGTATCCGTATTTGAAACTTTCAACTCAATTGTGATGTTGACAGGTAATAATCACCAATAAGAGATTCACCGTCTCAATAATATTCGTTATTGATTTGTCAATATCAAAATTATTCATGTAGATAGCATATCAGAATATTATCAAAAATTCCTGTTCGAAGCCTGCTCTGTAGACAGTTTTCTAGTTTCCAACATTATTATGTTTTCCCTTTCTGGGATTTATATCCACTTTGCATTTAATTTTCTATTCATATGATTTGTAAAGCTGTGCGTCGGAGATCCATTATTGTCATTTATTTAGTATGAGGAAGTTTTTTCTTAAAATATATGCTTATTTCTCTAATAAGATTTGGGTTACAAATTGAGTACCTTGTATTGCTTAATGATTAATTGATGATCTGTTTCAAAGTAATTGAAAACTTGCAGAATTAAATCTAAATGATAGTACTACTTACGTTACTACCATGCCAATAGACACAATATATTATTCCAACTGCATATTCCCAGTTTGATTGTTGCCGACAGTACGTGATACTCTACCCTCTCTGTAACACCTACTCGTAACTCTGTAGTTTTGTTAAATTGTTCCACCTAATATCAATTAAAACATAATACACCACAGCTTCAGGATTTATTGGTCGTCCAATTCCATGTGTGATAGAAGATGCATGAAGCAGTGATCCAGACTCTGTTTTAGTGATTTGAAGAAATGCGTCAATCCATCAACACCCAACATCAGCTATCGCGCAATTGTATTGGCTATGAACCTATTTTGTTGAAGCTGACCCGATATATACTATCTATTAAGCGTGACGAATTGTGCAAGGTCACGTGATTTGAGGGAACGCAATTACTTTCCCGTCTGAGCAACCAAAACAAATGTGGACAATCTTCGTGTCGTTTCTGAACGTTTCGCGAAATTTCACTGTTTTATAAAAAATATGTTATATTATCAGACACCAGGATAAATATTGATTTTTCTTACCGATCACTAAAACACTTGCGGACACATTTAGATCTGGGTCATCGTGTCCAAAGAGGGGCCACTGATTATCGGAAAATATTCAAAGATGATTGGCTTCCAGGGTTCCAAATCGATATTTTCAATCTCCAAGCAATTTGTTCAGTGCTGATTTCAACGGCAAAGTTCGAACTAATGAAATGCAAGGAGAATGACCTTGACCGATATCGAGGGCGACATTGACAATGTCGTTATTTTCTGACATTATAACTGAGTATAAATTCATAATCAGTGATCTAAAAGATTTGAAAACCGGTGTCCTTCTTGTGTATTTTAAATTTCTTTCTTCGCGATTGAAATTCTGAAGTGAAAAATGGCGACATTTTTTAATTCCATATTCCAAAAAATTTAGGCAATAAAACAAAAAATTGGGCCCAAAATTTTGAAAATTTAAGGCCCATTTTTGAGACTTTGGCCAAAAGATTATTCCCAAAAAGACCCATTTTTGAGGCCCTACAAATATGTTGGGGCCCTTAAAATATTTCTGGGCACACCCAAGGGGAGGGGGGGCATGGGCCCCCTGGATCCACCAGTGGGAGTGAACCCATAAATGCGCGCATAGCAACACGGGTGCACTGCTATTTTTCTCCCTTGATTCTTATCTGACATAGAAACTTCTATAAAATTGCTGAATCCTGATTTGTTTATTGCTTGTTTTTGGCTAATTCGATCCCTCATCGTTTTTATGGATTCCTTACCAGAACGTCAGGATTTTGGTTTTTTCGACCGGGCGTTAACCTCTCTTTCGTCACTCTTTACATGAGGTTTTTATAATCTCAAGTAATACGCCCGGTGATCGGAAGTTTTGTCCAGCTTGAGGGAGTACATACTATTTTTCATAAAAAACACTAAGAAAACTTGACAAATTATTCTTTAGCTCATGTGTTTCGTTATACCAAAGAAAATTAACTATTCCATGTGAATGGGTACACCATCGCGGATAACCTTCACTTCTGTCTGAAGTCTAAGCATCCTTGGACTTACGTTGAGGTAAGCGTATTTAATAATCAATATACAATTCATGTGATTCAACATGAATTCAACGGGCTATGTCGTTTATTTCTAATTTCTATTTCCTCCAGGATTGTGTCCAAACAAATGGAATACGTCAGCTTCCAGATTACTAAAGTGTTCCTAAAAGTATTTCATCCTGTGAAACACATTCATTGTAATAATCACATTCCTCCCCATTCGGATCTATTTAAATGAAAAATATTCACCTTATCAAAAGAAAATTGACTTCTAGTTAGCCGGACCATGGCAAGAGAACTTGATTGATTATAGACTAGAAGTGACTGTTTCCGAAAGCCAAAAATACTTAGTACTTTAAGAGCCATCTTTGTTTTAAGCATACCGTGTCAGTAAATAGACGCTTTACTGTTTCCTGACAATAAAATCACAGGAAAACTGCTTACTTATTTCAGGAATGCTTATCCGTTCAACTTGAATTCTTTACAGATGTAAGAGCAGACTATAGTGCCTTATTCTTAGGGTTTGTGCATGCTTAGGAAATGGCATGGCAGCCATTTTGTTTTTAACTTGTGAAAGTGCATTATATTATTTATCCCATACTTGGACGTGTTATAGGTACATAAAGCCGGTTTGTAAAAACTTATATTTTCATCAGCGGGCAGATATAGCTTTACGTCCCGCTCCGAGCGGGCAGATATGGTATCTGCCCGCTACGTCATAATCGCCGCTCGCATATTTGTTCATAATTTGTAACGTTCGCGTAATGACTGTAAACGACAATGGAGAAAACACAGATAATCGGGATCTGTTTGATGGTTTAAAAAAGGGAAGGAACATCCACTTAATCAATCAGAAATTCGAGAAAATAAATGTGGGAATATTTGAGAGAATAGGAAAATCGGCCACGGCCAAGAAAACAAAACTGGACATGAATATTCCAAAATATTTCCACGATTGAACAATGAGTACCGGATAACCAAGATTGGTATGGGATAAACATATTATCCTATAGTTGGTTCAGGATATTGGGATTATCCCTTGGCCAATTTAATATATTTTCCCTCGGGATCTGCGGCCCTCGGGCAAATATATTATATTAGCCTAGGGATAATCCCAATATCCTGAACCTCATATAGGATAATCTCTATTTATCACTCTGTGTCTTGTTATACGTACTGACATCTCCATGCCAAGGGTAAGGGTCAGTGGATCTGTCTATTGTTTTTTAAGGAAACTGACAAATATTTGATCAATGAAACAAGGTACTGTAATCCACGTGTACATAATTTCTGCATTTTCGCGAGTGTTTTCCCCGATTATTTTTACCATTTTCACTAGAGACTGGATATCAATCTAAAGTTATGTTTCTTATTAATGGTAGATAATCATTTTCGTGTAAAATTCCGAAACAAAATACTTCAGTTTGGACATTCCCTTCATTCATTATGAAAGACATACTACTTTTGTAAGGATCGCAGATATCTGATAATAAATGGGATCTGTCAGCTACCTCATCTGGTCAATTCAACCCTATGTTGCAATGACAAATGATTACAGATATTCATGTTAACCTTGGAGGGGAGATTTTCCAGATGCCGCAGTCACGCTCCAATATTTTCCTGTATGTTCGAAAAATGAAGGATATACGTATGGCTCATTCAGTCGAACAGTCTTGACAAGCGCAGCGCACTGAACTGGGGTATGTCAGTGATACACCCCCTCCAAATGTTTGGTTACCCAAACTCCCCATTATATCTTATTCGAATTGTGTTATTAAAAGGAAAAAACATTGAATTTAAGTTATATATTTTGCTTTATCCCATAGTTGCAAGGATATAGATCGAATATCACGTGACGATATCTTTGATATGCGGATCAAAATATCATATTTTAGCCAAAAAATTCCAAACCATTAAAAATCAGTTCTTAAAAAGATGTTTTCAAAAGTGATAATCGATGGTTTCAAAGGTGATATTCGATAGTTTCGATTTCTTTCAATAAATTATTTTAATCAAACTTTTTTCCAATTTTTTTTAAATACTCTTTTAGATTATTGTTCAAAATTGTCGAATTTTTTTTCAATTTTCAATTTTTTTTACTAAATTTTTTTCAACTTCAACAATATATCAATATCCACTCCTGGATATAAATGACATTTTTTCAAAACCATAGGATATTCTTATATTATCCCATGATCACACAGAGACACATACACAACAAAGTTGGACGATTAGGAAATTGGGCACCTCGGCATCCTTGTTCACCTAAGCATTGATCCCCACTTGGGGATAACGGGATGATGATCAGCATTACAAATACTTCAAGGCGATTTTGCGTTGCGACCAACCCGGGGATTACATAAATAAAACATACGACTGTAGTATATCATGTAAAATATGACATAAACATACCATGACATAATTTGGGATGCCAATTATTTATTCTTGTCTGTTTTATGGAGCATTACTGAGACGCAACTCATTCCTTGTTAGATACCCTTCGGTTTTGCACAAAGAGCCCATAAATATACTTAGCTTCAAGTTATTTTGAGCGTAATTCTAGATATGTAAGACATTGATTGAAATACATGACACACACGTTAAAAAGCCTTAATACAAAAAGAAAATGCGTTACTTAATAATTATATAACTTACATGCATTCACAAGAGTTTCAGCTCGATCGATTCATTCACTCATATCCAAGTGGTACACCCTTCGCAAAATTTAGAAATATATCCTTCAGTCATGCGATAATTTGCTCAATCTAAGATTGAATACCTCGATTTTGAGACTTTTACACAAAATCGTAACAACTGTGTCACGCGACATAAAATTTCTACTCTGAATATGAAATCAGTTTTCATAATAAAATGAACTGTTGGAAGCGTTGGTGGTTCACCATCGTAAAGTCACAGGTGATCCGCTCGATTACGCTGGTTACCGAAACGGTTCGTTTTGTACATAGTACATAGTAATACACACGTCTATTACCTCATGGAAATGGGTGAAATAGTGCTTTATCCTTTAACCTTTATCCCGGCCCTGGGCACGAAAAACTTTCAAACAATGCTTGGAGAGCAGATGAAGCTCTGTATTTTTACGTTATAAAAGCAAAATTATGACCTAGACAAAATATAGATTTTTGTTCGACAATAGGAGAATCTATAATGAAAATGAGTGCTTTTTTCGTAGTTTTACTTTGGCTTAGTAAAAAAAATAATAGTGTGGTAAAATTAACCTCATTTTTGATATTTTTTCTAGAAATGTTCTAGACGTTAATATCAATGTTTAAGAAAAGTTTTTTTATCGAAATAAAATGGATGTGTTGAATTCTATATTAATTACAAAAAACAGAGATGAAGGTCAAAAACGTTAGAATATATTCTAATTGTAGCAAATTGGAATACAATCCCGGGGGTTACAATTAACCGACGCGAGATCGCAGTTACGCGACTCCATTTAATTTGATACATGCATTTTACGGTGTACAACCAAACGCTACGGCAGGCAGACCGGTGTAAAAGGGTAGGAGGTCCTATAAATTTATGGTCCTACTCTCCATTGATTTATATGGTGACCTCTTTGTGCTCTTTCCCTTATTATCTTATACACAACCAGGGCCAGTAAGGGCCTTTAAAAGGGGGACCATAATCCCTGGGGGACCATAATTTCTTTCACACCGGAATGTTTCTGTATTGATTTCAAATAGAGAAACGCACCGGAGTGAGAATAATGGCAGTTGGTAAATGCGTATGTGTTTCTTGCTTCATACCATTCGACGAGTGTTATATTCAAGTGTTACTTGGCTGACTGTT